AATCATCAATCATATCAAATAAGTTACACACAGATAACTCCGATAATTTAAAAACATATTCACCACAACATACATTTTTACTACAATCCCAGTATTATAATTAAGTACAACGTTGATATACGTTCACGAATGCAACCTGTTTTTGCTGGTTAATGTAAAAGTAATTGGAAAACGATTTGTAGTTGAAGAGTTTATGATAACCATGCGAAATTGCTGTCGACAATTTATCTCAGATTAAACTCGAAGAGTTTACCAGATGGTTCGGTTGGGATGCACGCAAGTAACAAGAACATGTAAATAAGAAAATATTGGGAAAAAAGGTTAACAAGAGTACTTATAATATCTTATCTCGTAGAGGAAACTCTGGTAGACTCGAGAGAGACGTTCGATAACATCTGGAAGAAATCTCGACACAGCTTGATTCACTACTTTTATTCGCACACGAAGAGATAAGTTTGTCGATAAAGTTTATCTCGGTTGTTAATGTCATGTAAATAAGAGATTATTAAGGTTTAATTGTGTTTGAATTAGAAACTATTATAAAATATAAATTGAGTCCAATTATTATATTATCGTAACATTATGTTTATCTAATAAAAGTGTTCAGTAATCCAACGTGTTGGTGATATTATAAAGTTCTCATGTAAACAAAGCGATATTTTTAGTATCGCCTGATGGACGTTTGCATTTTTTGTTTTGTTCGTCCTCTGAGAATCCGGTTTTGTCCAGTATCGCGACAACAAATTAAATTTGCATTTTCGTTTCTGGCTGTTCTTAATATAGTTTTTGATAGACTGATTTTTAACACCATAATTGACCCGAGAATTGAATAAGATTGAAAAAAATTGATGGTCATCACGTGAAAGAATCGTTATTGAAATAAGTATTTCCTTAGAAGATAACGATTAAACATTTTTTTATTAAAACGATTTAGTTATTATCGTAATATAAACATTTGTGTTGTGTAATTTGTAAATTAAAGTAATAAAAAACATAAAAAAAAGTTTTCCATCGGGGGTCGTTCTATACGATTAAACTTTGAAAAATACGACGGCGCAACGAGACAAAGCACATTATCACAGATTTAATTAATGCCAATAAGCTCTCCATCGGTCGTGAGTGCCCTTTCACCTGACCTCTTGGCAATTCCGCATGTTAGCGTCCACAAACAGTGTCAGACATCGGCATGTTCGTTGTAAGAGATTTTGAAATGTGTGATAGAGAGAAAATCGGAAGACTTTTTATCGGAATGTCACCACATAATTTCAGATAAACAAATCAATATTAAGTGACTTTTTAGATATAATCCGGACTTATTAATACCTTATTACTCATTAACTAGATTTTACATAAGATTGCGGTTTAAACGCCGTATATGTAAATGATACGTAATTGACCTTTGTGGCTGGCGTTTATATAAATAAATAAACTAAAGTTGGTTTGCGGTTGTCTGTGGTTAAGATCGACGCTTTTTATTTCGGATTTTCTTCCATCGTCGATATAACTTCACTAAATCGCGTCGGCTTTTAGTAAACGGTAACAGTAGTAAATCACAGGGACAACATTCTAGGCACGTAGGCGCTGTTTGATGCATATCTCTGTCAGTCTAATACCATTGAGTCCAGTACATATGAATGAACTACATAAACTGGGAGTGTTGCCTTATTCGAAGAACGTCGGCAAAATAAAGTCAACTGCAAAACTGGCTTTGTTAAGTCTCTCCAGGAAGAAGTGGGTTGGACTTACGACTTTCAGAGAAATCTACATCTTAAAAGCATGTGGGGATAAAGAATTTATCTAAAACGTTTTAGATAAATCTTAAAATTTTAATTTATTTTCCTCGAATTAAGAATTAGACTTTTTATTATGACAAAAACTAAATTCATAATATAATTATCACTCGCCGTCCTCGACGAGATGAAATCCCGTCATGCTGGTACCACGTATTTCGCATCAGGTAGAGTGGAATGTCATCCAGAATATCAAAATAATATGATGCTCTCTTTAAATATATTTACAAACGAGCTACCACAAATCTAGTTCTTGGTCTAGTGCTTCATAACAATTAAAACTAGAACTAACACTAGATCTACAAAATTTGAGGTTTAGCAAGAATGCCACACGTCTCTAAAGACGACTAAACCCGAATGATTCTAGTTCTTGGTCTAGCGCTGCTTCTTAACAATTAACATTTATATTAATTACATAGAATACATATCGGGTAGGCGGACCAACCAACCTTGCACCGCGACCCTAAGGATCTATTGTACCTCGATAGATATCATTATCAAATTTCACCGTGCAGTCCAATGCTCTTAACGAACATTAATACCTTGCTCGGCGAAAGGTCATTCAGATCTTTTGAGGAGATAAACTGCGACCCAAAAATCGAGAATCTGATACGGTTAACGGCAGGGCTTCCTCCGCACATAGTCGGCATTCAACATCGTCGGCTAAACCCAACAAGTTGAGGTGTGCTTTTAATCGGCAGTGCCCATTAGAACTTTTATGCTACTACGGGCAAGTCCAAAAATATTCCCGGGTCTCATTCCAGGAGAACTGGTCCACAGTAGGCGAAGTCTCTCTTCAGCCCACAGTCCAATCCTATATTTGGCCATCGCAAATGATACACCAACTGCTGGTTCCGGTCCCACAAACGCTTCAGCGCTGCCATCTCGTGCTAGCTTATCTGCCGCTTCATTGCCAGCAACCCCAGAGTGACCCGGGACCCAGATCAGAGAGACTCTGTTATCACAACTCAGTGTGTTTAATGTTCTCTTACAATCATTAACCAGAGCCGACACCGTTTTCACGGCTTGCAGCGCCTGGAGAGCGGCTTGACTGTCTGAGAAAATTCGTACTGTCATGTTCTTCACCCCTCTTTCAAGAAGGATTTTAGCACCCATGTCAATAGCAAATACTTCCGCCTGGAATACAGTACAGTACGTACCCAGGCTGTAGGCTTGCTTAATTCGAGGTGTCTGGCAGTATACTCCTGCTCCTACCCCTTCAGGCGTTTTTGATCCATCTGTGTACAAGCAAATGTCTGCCCGAACCAGAGAATTTTCATTTTCGATCCAGGACTGCCGCTCAGGCAGTACAATCTGGTATCGAGCATTAATCACTGATAGTGATACCGCCAAATCTGACGGCATTGATAGCACAGTATCAGTGCTTATAATGTCTTCCGCAGCCCATTGGTAGGACATGTCGGAACAGTTTTGAGCATATTGCTTAAATCTGTAAATGGTTGTTCTAGCCACTTTCTCTATATGCAAATGCAGAGGAGATAGGCCAAGCAGAACCTCCATTGCTAGAGTTGGCGTTGTGCCTATCGCACCAGAGATTGCCAATCCAGCTACTCGTTGAATTCGTGAAAGTTTACTGATAACTGAAGTCTGTCGGACTTTCCTATACCAGGCTGCTGCTCCGTATGTGATCATAGGTCTAACCACAGTCACATAGAGCCAGTACAGTCTTTCAGGGGTAAGACCCCAATTTTTTCCACAAAGACTGCGACAAGTCCACAAGGATAGTCTAGCTTTGTGCAAAACTCCCTGCAAATGTCCATTCCATGACAGGGTTTTGTCTAGGATTACTCCTAGATATTTGACTTCCTTTGAGAAAGGAATTTCTTCACCTTGGATAGTTGGGCGGATTAGTCCATCCAACTTTCGCTTCCTGGTGAAGGGCACAACAATTGTCTTTTGCGGGTTTATTGAGAGGTTCTCTCCCTTACACCAAGCGCAAATGGTATCTAGGGTCACCTGGAGGACTTTAGATATCCTCGGCAAACAGGTTCCTTTGACCATAACGACAATGTCATCAGCATAAGCTTGTATTTCCACACCAACGGCTTCGACTATCGCAATCAGATCGTCAACTAGGAGGGACCAAAGCAGGGGAGATAACACCCCTCCCTGCGGGCAGCCACCTCCCGGCCTGAAGCGTATCGTATCACCGTGGAGTGAAGTAGAAACTATTCTACTATCTAGCATATTGCGGATCCAACCCGCTATAGTTGCTTCCACTCCCCTGTCAAGAGCAGCTCTTTCAAGAGATTGTGGTATTGCGTTGTTGAACGCTCCCTCTATATCCAGAAACGCACAAACCAAGATTTCTTTATCCTGCAGCGTCCTGGATACTCTACCAACTAAGTTGTGTAGAGCCAATTCTGCTGATTTTCCCGCTTGATAAGCATACTGGTGGCGACTCAGTGGACCAGATACCAATGGCACCGTACGGATATACCGTTCCAGAACTTTTTCAAGGGTTTTCAGCAGAAATGACGTTAGGCTGATGGGTCGAAAGGCATTAGAAGTAGGGACCGAACGGCCCGCTTTGGGTATGTAAGATACCCGTACCTTAGTCCATTCTGCCGGCACATATTTCCAGGCGACACTCGCTCTGAAAATTTTTACCAAAATTGGCAACAACAAAGACCTCCCCTGCTGTAACAAAGCAGGAAAGATATTGTCTTCTCCAGGCGATTTGAACGGCTTAAACGTTTGAATTGCCTGGTCCACGGATGTGTAAGTGACGACTTTTCTAGCCACACTCCAATCCGTATTTGCCTTGCAGGAATAGCCCGCTGTGGCATTATCGGCCCTCATCATCAGGCTTCCTGGGAAGTGAGTCTGCATGAGAAGCTCCAACGAGGCTCTGCTAGAGTCCGTAAAACTACCGTCAGGCCGCCTAAGTGAGCCCAGGGGTAGTGCCGGATCTCTAGCGAGAATCTTGTGAATTCGTGCACTGCTGGGTGTGTCTTTCACTCCCTCACAGAACCTCCTCCAAGACTCTCTTTTTGCCTTACGTAAACTAGAACTAACACTAGACCTAAAACTATCAACATTCATAAATCTAACGATTAACTTTTGACCTAACTAAGATATAAAAATAGACCTTTAATTAATAATTAAGATATTATATTTTTACAACTATCTTTATACCACTGATTGTTAAATAAATTGCATAACTAACAAAATTAAAAATAAATACTCTTCAAAATAAACATCAATCTTTATTAATTTTTAGTTCCATTTAACAAAAATGCCATCCCATGAACCCTAAAATGTTTTTTTAGTTCAAATTCATCTTCAAATTTCGCTCTACAAACTTTACACTGATTTGGTTCGAAGATATCTTCGACGTCATTTTCAAGTTGGATTTCGAGTTCTCTATCATAACAATCGCCGTTTTCTTCAATGTATTTATCGATATCTGTTATTTGATGAAAATAAATAAGGTGTTTCTCAAAGCTTGGCTTAACAACGAAGGATTCGCCGCATTCCAAACATTGATAAATGGCTCCCTCTCGATGTTCTTTCAAATGAATGTGAAAATCAGGTCGATTTTCCGATTTGAATTCGCATAGTTTACAAAAATATGTTCCATCGAATGGTTTTGGCGATTCAAACGATAAGTCTTGAGTTTCTGAATTTGATCTGGAAGCTTTTCTTTTGGAATTATTCGGTGAAGATGATTTTCGTTTTTTTCTTTTTTCCGGTAACTTTTGAGTTTCATCGATGGTGCTTATATTGTTTAATATGACGATGGGGTTATCGAATTTACATTTATGTTGGGTGGCGGGTAAAATAGAAAAGTTGCATAATGAACATTTCGGTTTTTTAGAAGTTTGTTGCTCTGGTTTATGATAAAGTAATTTATCTGGTGATTCGCATTTTGGACAATTTTTTGTTGAAGGTATTTTAAATTGTATTAAAAATTGGCAATTGTTACAAAATGTCATTTCTGGGGAATATTTGGACGAAAGTATTTCCGCTACAGAAATCGATTTTTTATTGCATCTTGATAAATGGGTTGCATATGTTGCCGAAGTTCTAAAAAAATTTCTACAAAATTTACAAATATAAACGTAAACGCGATTTGTTAATTTGTTTGGGTCGCAATGCCAATCAATGTGTTTTGTAAAATCATCTAAAACTAAATCTTGGCAGAGTGTACATTTATAAATATCATTAGGAATAACTTCTTCGTCTTTGTGAAATTGTAAAATGTGTAAAGAAATTTCTTCTTCAGTATCAAATTCGATCATATAACATTTTGAGCATCCTATAATATGTTTTATGTGAGAACAAAAATGTTGTTTATAATTTGTGTGATAAGAAAAAATCTTTTTACAGCGTTTTTTTGTACATTTTAATCGGACTTGCTTTGCAAAATGATAACAACCATCATCTTGATGGTTAATCACTTCGACGAAAGTTTTAAAGTTTATTCCACATTCTGGGCAAACAAAGGGTGGTTCACCTTCGTGTAATCTTTTGTGAGCCTTAAAAGAACAAATCCCAATTGAAACAAAATTACAAACTTCACATTTCAAGTCGTCATCTAAAGGATTAAAATTCCGTTGAAAATGTTTCATTACAGGTTCAGATAAAACATCACCACATTCCGAACATTTTGAAAACAGTCCAAGCAATTCTTTAGATTTGACGTCATCCTCAATATTTTCACCCTTTTTATTGTTAATTTGATCATTATTCAATTTTAACATTTCATTTTTAGAATAAATCAATACCGTATTCGTTTTAACATTTTTATCATCGCTTTTGGTCTGAACAAAAACACATTTCGGCAAGTTACTACAAATCTGTTTTAAAACTAAAGCTTTCTTTCCATTTTTAAGAAATAAAATAAAAGTTGCAACCATTTCAACGCATTTAAACCCTTTCTGATCAGCAACTGGATTATAAAAGCTACTATTTATGTAATAAGTGGTCCCTAATTCTTCATCTTCAATGTTAAAAACCATCGGAACATGTGGATAAAATGGAAATCCAACTAAATCAGGTGGAAGTTGAAAAATCGTGATATCGTCGAAATTTATAACACCCATTGTTGGTTGGAAATGTTTTCGAGCATGTAAAAGCAAGGAACAGGGGTTGTAAAATTTATAGGTATACATACAGTCCGAACAATAATATTTTAAACCTATCGTTATGCGATTTATGTGGTCGATAAATGATGATTTTGAAGAAAATCTGAAATTAAAAAGAAAATGATAAAAAAATGAATTTAAAGTTAGGTTAAGATCAAAAAAATTTTACATGTAACTAACTTCACTCTGGTACGATAATTATGATCGATTCTTAAAGAGCATGCGCATAAAACCATTTAGCAAATGTCAAAGCTTTTTCCTTTAAATAAGAAACTTACAAATCCCTACATGAATAACAAGCATAAACATAACTTCCTTCGCGTGCATCACAAACCATCCAATGACTTTGATTACGATTAAAAAGCATATTCCATTTCGTGATATATTGACCCCTTTCTTCTTCTTGTGTCGACACCACCTGTAATTTAAAAAACAAACAGTAAATAAGAATATATAACAACAACTTTACTTACTATTGATGGTGTTGAAGTCATTTTTATAAAATCCTTTAATTATAAATAGCCTTATTTATGGTTATTTTACGTTTTTACCATTGTAAACAACACAAGTTAAGGTTGCTTGCTACGAGTATTTCCGGTGATACGAGTTTTATTTGACGCATGCGTATTACTATTACTCATCGTTTTTCGTTGTTAAATCGCGCATACGTGCATGCACCCATTCATTAAGAATTACGTGTGTTAAAAAGAGATAGCAGTACTTTAATAAGTCGCACGTTTAATAAAATATTCAACTCTAAACCACAGAATAACCGTAGAAATGTTTCTAACCTTAAATCGAAATGTCGTTTGCGTGTGTTGATGTTTATTTTCAAATCGAAAATGTCTTCTTTAAAAAGAGAATGTTTAAATGTATGTTTTTTTGTAATTTGAACCAGTTCAAGTTGGTGACATTGGGTCATTAATTTTTCTAGTTGTCAATGTGACAATTTTTGTCTATGGATGTTTAGGCACGTTCTTAGCATCGTATACAAGGTCCACAATGATGAGGACATTGAACTCTGAGCAATTCTCTTATTTTGGAAGGTGTACATGAAACATTTTTTTCAGGTGAATACATTTTGTGTTTTAATAATTTTTAATTGTCAATTCAAATTTCTATTTTCAAGTGTTACAGTGTCACCAACTGTCACATACCTATTTCCCTTCATTGTCGTTATTTTATTTTTGTAAAAAAAAGGATAAAAATGCGAATTACAAATTTGTAAGTAAAATTTGTAATTTGTAAGAACTTTTTGATTCTTTGAGAAAGATTTGTTTCTAAATGTATTAGTTTTTATTGGAAGTAATAAATAGGTAAGGTTTAAAACAATTCAACTAGAATTAATAAAAATGAGGTTTAAAAGATAATTATAAATACATATTTACAAAATACAAATTGAAGTTTTTAAATTAAAAAAATTATTCTCTTCTGATTTTCCTTTCCAATTCACTCAAAAGATAAACGATCCAAAGGTATTTTTTTATACGAACAGCAACAAGCTGAAGGCACCTCAAAAACATCAGTAGTGGGTTGTCCTTCTTCAGATAAACTAATTAATCTTCTATAAACGTATTTCTGTTTACAATAAGATGTATATCCCAACGTTTCGTTAGATAAAAATGAACAGGGTTGACCAGGACTAAAAAACAATTTTATAAAGATATAATTTTTAAAAGTATTACAACTCACTTTAAACAGCTTTCAACCCGAATTCCTTGAACATATTTATCGCTCCCATCTTGATTAATAATATACTTCCATTTATTACTCTTGGTCTTGGCTATTTTGGGAAAAATCATTCTGTCTACAGTTTGGCAGAGAGAAACGTCCTCATCATCACCCAATCGGTTGGCTATTTCATCCGGTCCATCATCAATACCGAATAAATTTTCCAAAGGACTGGGCACTTGTAACATTCTCTCAACCAAATCCGATGGATAACCATCGATTTTCTCGCAATAAGTTGATCCTTTCGCGCATGACGGTCTTTCGTATGGTTTTATTGGAGTTATTATTGAGTCATCTTCGTCCGCATCATCCGGGAAAATTATTGCTTGGTTGTTTGATGATTGCTGACGATACTTTTGAGAGACACCTTAAAATATAAATATAAAATTAATTTAGGAATATGTTTAAATTCATAGTTATTTATAAATAGTCGTATTTACCTACCACCTCGTCGAATTTTTGGCTTTGCCAATATTCTTACTGATGTTACAATCCTTTCAGATGGAGAAACGCTTTTGGTGATGTTCGTGATATTTAGGGATGTTCGTGGTGTTATTTGTTCAGGTCGAGCATTTGTTAAAGATTCCTTAACATTAAAAATAAAATAATTAGGTGAAAATCTGTGTCATTAAGTCATTAGTTTGACGTTTCGTTAACCTAACCTCATTTTGACATTTGTTAACAGGAATATGAAAGTCGATGAGATGGGTATTTGTAATCGTTATTATATTTATTATTTAAACCAAATTAATTACGAACTTTGTGTTATGAAATTGAGAATTTGAAGAAAATATAATAAAATTTTCGTTATCTCTTTTACCGACTTGTCGTATTAAATTTTGTCGCTAGAGGGCGCATATTTTTAAATGTAAAATAATTTGAGATTATTGTAAATATCTCTTTAATTTTTATTTCTCAATGAGTAATAAGTGAGCACTTAGATGAAAAGATATACACTTCAAGACAATTCAATTTAAAAGTTTTAAAACAACAAAAAATAATGCGTTTTAAATACAATAAACAGTACGCATTTCGTGCTTAAAGCAAATTTCCACTATTGTTTTAACGAGGAAACTTAATTATCAGTGATTCATCGTTTCGTTTAAATATTTTTAACTTACCAAGTAATGTAAATAATAAATAAAAGTAATAAAAACGATTAAATTTTTCTTTCCAATTGAACACATTGATTCCAAAAAAAATTACGAACTTGATTAAAGTCCTTGATAAAATCAATTAAAATAAAAAAACTAAACAACACGACAGACCGTTGTCACATGCAAAACTGGCGAAACATCGAAGAACCATGGTTTTATAAATAGACCAAGTTAAAGCAGACCCGTTTCCAAGATCTCGCGTTTTACATTTTCCTGCATACGAAACGAAAGAAAAAGAAAGAACAGAAAACCGAATCGAAAAAATGTCCACGCACTTTAATCGAATTGCGTCAAAACGCCTTATACACGTTTAAAGAAAAGAGAACCTTCTTCGTGTGACGACAATAATTCTCAAAATAAAATTAAAATAAAATACTCGCTAAACTGGTTTTGTCGAAAAAATGTTGTAACATTTTAAAAGAAGGTCGCGATGATGTGAAGGTGTTTACTTTTAAACGACCGGAACCGTTGTGGCTCTTTAAATTTGTTTTCTACGTTTATTATGAAACGATGATTTCTAACGGAAATAAGAGCCACTAACCCACTTAAATTATTAATTTTTTTCTTTTATTAATTAATTAATTTTGTTTATGGCAACAATGGATCTCATCAAGCTAATGATGTCATTAAAATCTAGTCAGAGTTTGTGACGTGAACGCATAAACAATTATGCGGGTACAGTTCAAGATCATAATATAGTCAGAGAGTAGTATAGAGAGAAACATTCTGGTCGGACGAAACGACCGAATATGCGCGATTTGGTTTTATTCGTTTTCACGTTAAACTGCTACTGGCGTTTGCAGGTAGGTGCTTGTTTTCTTTTAACAAAACAAACAAAAAAGTGGTTATAGGTGTAACCTTTTTATTTCGCACACTTTCAATATAACCGCAAAGTGCTAACAAGTAAAGAAAAAAGTCTTGTTACAATCATAACAGAAACAAACCGCGAATTCGAATTCCAAGGTTATTTTATTTTAAGTCGCGTGGTTGTGTTTAGTTGTTTCAAACAACAATAAATCATAATCAACACAAATATTAATTAGCTACTTTTGTTCTTTTTTTATATTTATTTCTTTTTAGTTTGGTATTTTTGGAGCTGCGCAACCCGCAGCATTTAATTTCGCCAATAATTACACATACCGTATTTTCCATACATACAATTACGAGTATAAAGATCCTACGACAAATGGAGAGTACATCCCAAATAGTAATTATCCACAATCTGACCCCAAAGAACCAATTCCTATAGCCCAAAGAAATCATTTCAACACCAACAATTATAATGGTGAACATTTCTATGATCCAGAAAATACAAATAGAAATTTTAAACCAAATGTTTGGACACCCTCAAATTTACCTCATTTCATTGAACAACACGAAACCATAACGAATCAACCCAGAAAATCAAGAGAAAATATTAATCGAGGTAATTCTTTTCTTTTTAATTTACTTTATTTTAATATTTCTTTGTTTTAGGTAACACAGAAACGTCATTTTTAACAGTAAATGGTTCAAAATGCGCTTACGGATTTTGCGAACAAGCTGAAAATTATCCCGAAGCATTGCTTTTTGATTTAGTTAAAAACAACGCAGCTTTGAGTGCGTTTTTTAAACCAGCCGTGCCTGTAGTCGTGGATAGGGCTTTTCCTTCGTTTGAAAATATTTGCGAAGTAACCGTGCAACGGATGACCCCCAAAACGGCTCAGAACGTCGAAGGAAAAAATCGAATAGTCGTTAATTTAAAAGAGTACAAACAAATCGTCGAGTCTGAAGTGTGCAGAAAGGACGCTACGTGTAAATTTCATAACTATTGGCCGGAAGGGTATAAAGCGAAATGTATTCAAAAGTATGTTGAGGTTCCTTTAGCTGTAATGGACGATATGGAAAATAAAATTATTGTGGAGAAGTTTAGTTATCCATCCGGTTGTTATTGTGCATGTAAAAATGAATAATAAAGTTATTTTAAAATTGTTTATTTTATTTTAATTTTTGAGATTTATTAATTGAACTGCAGGAATCTTTGTTATCGATATTTGTTTCAGGTATCAATAGATGGCGCGCAACTTTTTATAACTAAATCGCATTAATTATTTGGTATTTCCAATATTTTCGAAATATCTGGGGTTTCCTAAGTAATTTCAACAATTTTAAAGAATTTATGCAAATGTCAGTTGATTTTTAAAGATTTCCAAGGATTTCTAAAGGTTTTTAATACATCCAGCAATTTTTATAGACATCTTAAAATTTCAAACGGAATTAGGAGTCTCTAAAACTTTTCTGGTGCAATCATAACATTTTCAACGATCTTTAAAGATTTTCAAGCATATTTAATGTATTTTTAACGTTGTTTATAGACGTTAAAATACGTTATATAATTGACAGTAACAGTAGTTGGAATAGGTACAGTAATAAGTTGCACAATTAGAAGAATAATTCTATTATAGCGCCATCTGTTATTTATTTTATTAATTAGATATCTTTTTTTGTTACAGGAAACTGTATGTTTATTGCAAAATATTTCCCAAATTATTTTCTAAAATGTAGAAGAAACAAGATCTTCAATCACAATCAGTGACCTTAGTAATTTTAATAAGTTTAAGTGCATAAATACATAAATAAACTCTTTCATCTGTATGTGGCAATGAAATCAGTTATAAAAAATTAATTATTACAAAATCAATTTAAATATTTATAAAAAATCAATTTTCATCATCGAATATAATAATTTTAGTATTTCCAACTAAATAATGTGATACTTATAGCGATGTTAATGTATCGAGATGGAGTGAGATAATGATAAAATAGTTTAAACAAAAATGATGTCGATCATAGAGTACAATTTGATTCTAGTGCAAAAACAATTTATCTCGCCCACAGTACACACATTCTGTCGTCAAACTGGTACGTGTGGGGCTGTTGATTGAAGTGGCGGAGCGCCGCAACTCTTTCAGTTCTTTACGAACTATGGTAAAGAGCGGTCGAAACGTGCTTACGTTTAAAATAATTAATTAACAATAAAATAACTATCGTATTAACGAATTCTGTTAAATAATTGACTTTAAATGTTGTAAGAAATAGATTTAAAAAAATAGTTTTTATAATAAGGGAAAGAGCAATGCGCTTAATTTATAATCCAGCTCGTTTCAGTGAAAATTTACGAAAAGTGTCTCAATGGTCATCATCATTATGAACATTTTATTCGCGTACTGGTGTGTGACTGCAATAATAGTGTCGGCCTTCGGTGCGCAAATTTATGACGCCGATATCTCTTCAAAATGCGTCGAAAATTGTTATAAGGTAAAAGAAATAATATTTTAAAATCCCAATAGTTTTGTAAATTAAAAAGAAATCAATTGACGTTGTACATTTTATGATTGCTAACCGTACATAATCTTAAATTAAACGCCAAGAGGTCATTATCTATCTCTTAATGTTTTCCAATTACTTAATTTTGGTTATCCTTCGAGTGTTGTTCACGATTTTGATCGTGACTTGTACCGGTTTAAACTAATCTTCGATGTTGAAATAAGTCTTATTTGATCTACTCGAACAAAAAACATTTTTTAAAACCAAACAAAATAATTATTACCCACGAATAGTTCATTGTATACATATAAAACAGGATGTTCTGTAAACTCCATCAACCTTAAATCCTCGGAACCTACGAGTTTCGGTTTGACGTTTAAAAATCTTGTCCCCATAGGAAGTTAAGACCTTTTATAATTTCACGGTTTGGTTCGTTTATAAAACGGAAAAGGGCCTACAGGATGTTCAGGTGAAGAGTTACTCGAGTGTGATGTTATGCGAGTCAGGTGGTAAACATGAACAAATTTTTATCATTTTAAAGCAATTTGATCCCTCTAAAAATAAATCTTTTGATAAATTATCTCACGGTTTCTTTTAAGTTTGTTTATTGTCGAAAATTTATTTATATATCTTTGTCCCAGATGTACTTGTATATTCTCTTTATTTTTATGTTATTATTATTTTTTTACGTTTAAACGCCATAAACAACCGCTAAATTAATTATTATGATGAAAGAAGCTGTATTAATTAGCGTTATTTCTTTGTAATCTCAAGATAAGTGTTATTATAAACACTTGTTAAATTATTTTTTAAAGGTTTCGTTTCGTAATTTTTCATGGAGTACGATTTTCTATCAATTTATATTACGATGATTTTGCATTATTTAGATTATGTAACAGAGCAGGTTTGACTGGATTTATGTATTTTTTTTAGATTTCTTTTTCTGTGATACGTGTATTAAAAAGCAATTTAAGTAATAATTGCCCAGTAACTTTTTGATATAACATATAGAGAGCTGTTGTAAGATAGTTCAAAGGTTGGATATTAAACAGAAAACACTGCGAACGCACAGACGAGGTCGAATAGATTGCATAAAGACAGAGAAGTCATAAAGACAGAAAATTATATCAGGTTAATAATTTTCTTGAACAGTTTTATTATGAACGGATTTTTGGAAATATGCTGAAATTAAAGGCATTGTCATTATCAAAACAATTGAATATTAATCAGTGATGGTTGGCTGCAAAGATTTAAACACCGTTGGCCCACCCAGATGCAGTACAACCTTTTAAAGAGGATCTAAAACGTATGTTTCAAGAGCATGACCTAAAGCGACATCAGATTTATAATACTGATGAGACAGCATTGTATTGGCGCTTATTGCCTCACAAAACTTATGTCCCATTAGCAGAAAAAACTGCTCCTGGATTAAAAATTTCGAAGCAACGACTGACGTTTATGGGTTGTGCAAATGCTTCAGGCTTACATAAAATGGACTAAAATATTTTAGGGCTCACCAAATTGTACTATAGAAACAGTTTGCTCAGTTCTGTTATACAGGGTGTCTTAGCGAGACCGGTCATTAAAAGTTTCTGGGGTTCTGGCCAAACAAAAAATTTGAGAATGCAGACTTAAGTATTATCAATTACGTTCTCTTCATCTAAAATATTTTCATATTTCTAGCACTTCCGGTTACACCGGAAGTCGCCACCAACTTTATTTTTTTAAATGGAACACCCTGTATATTTTTACATATTTGGATTTGTCTGTTTTCAAGGTTTATAAATAACTTTACTTTTTGCAATTTGATTCGGTCGTTCTCGAGTTATTCGAATTTTTCTAGAAAAATCTGCTCCAGCAGACATTTGTTCAAAAAATCAGAAAACACTCAATTTTTGGGATATCAATTTAGGATTGAGAACATGCTTAAGCAACATGATGG